AATTCGAACCCGCGACCCTCAGATTACGAGTCGAGCGCCTTAACCACCTGGCCATGCCGGAGCTCCCATTACAGTCGATAGTCTACAAATTGTGTACATATGATTAAATCATCCAGATTCAAAAACTTGTTTATTTAACTACAAAATTACTTCTAAATTCACACAATTTAGTCCACATTATTATTATTCATTTCTCTCAAGACTTCTTGAACCTACGTGTTTTCTAACATCATGAATTATTATTTTAAAGTTAGGCATAATTTCTGCAAAATAAAATTTAACTGAAATTCCTTAATTCCGTTACAAATATGAGTTGAATGATTTAGTTTTCAGATTGCAACAAAAAAGGTGTGTTTAGTTTACTGATTTACCTACTTCTTAACAAGAACTATGTTTTTCAAAGTAGTATCAGACCCAAACCAAACTGCTACTACTGCTTGACCAAACTTGCTTTATTTTATATTATACCCATAGCAACATATTGGTTTAACCTCATTCAGACCACTAATAATTCTCAAATAGCGTTAGAAATTTTTTGGTGTCCAAAAATTACAAGTTTTGTATACTGAAGACAGAGAGATAATTACGAGAATATAACTCGAAGTGTGATCTGTGTGTATACATGTAGCTATGCAACCATCCTCTAATCATAACACACTAACAAAAATTTCAGTAAAGGCTTCAGTGACATGTTTATGAAATTAGTAGTAATCTCATTCATTATTTAGAAATTCAGAACATAAAGATAAGCTGCATTTCAAGTTTATTTCCTTTACTGTTATTTCAGTAAATTTGTGGTATTTTCAGGTGAAATGATTTCCCTACAAGTATCTAATAATTAGACCAGCTAATAACAGAAGATTTGATTAGGAAATAAGGAGAGTAATCTGTGTTTGATAAGTTCGCTAAGTAAACTAATTAGGCACGTTTGATGGACAGTGAAAACACTCTTCTTTATTTAGACATAACAGAAAATCAGTGTACCTATCTAAGTACACAAATAGACGATCATCTCTACAATACTGGATCGGTGAATAGCTCGTCAGCTTTCAATCTCACAAGATGAATCTCTGTCGACCTAGTTATGATCAAATCCAAGTAGAAATGAACTAATAAAGCAAGCCTGAAGAGAACAGGTAAGCTCGGTTCTTCTCCAGTCAACAGTATTACCTCGTAACCTTTGTTCTCTCACATCCTGGTGAGCTGTAGCTCTTAAATTAATGAATGATTAAAAATACATAATAAAATAATACAATTCAGAAAAATCAAACCCTTTACATAGATCAAAATACAAACAGTAAAAATACAAAAAAAACAACAACTTCGTAACGAGTATATTCAAATAATCCTTTTACCGAAAAAGACTAATAACACTATAAGAATTCTAACTGGAAAAATAAGTTGCATGTATGTCACGTGGAAACTTCCCACAGTAAAAGGATAGTACTCTCATTAGGCTCCGCATTTACAGTGGACTATAGACATATCATACTTTGCTGTCATCTAGTTGTTTAAACTAGTAATTGTTAGCCCCGAAAGAAAACCTTAAATTTCTGAATCTTTGAAAAATTGACAAACACACAATATATATATATATATATTCCCAGATTAATATTTTAAAATCACATTTTAACAACTATGCTTTAGAATTTACTAGTTTTTATTTTAATTTATAAACACAATAAAGTAATTACAGCGTTTTATTATTCAAATATGTCAATTTATGTGATTGTTACATACTGTGCTATTTAAGTATTTTAAAATGCGTTGAGGTATCGATTTTACACTCTTCACGTTACACACGTTTCTTTGTTTTTAACATTTTTGTATTACTTAAATATTTTATGCCACATACGCCGATTACTATAGAAATAAAAACCTAAATAACTGATACACTTCAAAATTTTCAGCACTTAGACTATCATCAGTTACATTTAGGCCTAAACATTGTATATAATAATGCTCAAAGCCAAACATGTCTCTGAGTTAATAATGGCTGGAGACGGCTTAAATGGGTAATGAAGAAAAACTTTAATATAAGTTTAACATGACAGCAAATGTACAACGTTTCGACAAGGTTTTGTCATCATCGAATGTCTCTGAGTTGTATCTAACTTACTCTACTTAACCTTGAGCAAGCTTAACGTAACGATACACATACATATTTGAAGGCGTGGTTTTTTGCCCTATGTTTTCCAGTATCTTTGTCCTGGCTTATAATTGGCCAAATATGACGTAACCACATAATCTCAAATAAAGGGCTCCTCAAACATATATACTACAGAGGAAACCTATATAACTACACTCTGTAAGGAAACCCGATAAAAAATAAAATAATGAGTTAAAAAGCTAATAATTGCGTTTTTATTATTAATATTACAAGTAGTTATGCAGTATTGTATTATTAGTATTACTAAATACTATGTAACACTAACACTACTACTACACTAGTAGTAGCACTAGTAATACTAGTAATAGTAATACACAGTAACATCAACAACTTAACGTTAGGTATTTGTACCGTAACTTGCAATACTAAAGCATTGAAGAAGCGTGATATAGTTATAGATCAATTTACCTCAGAGGTACCTATCAGTGTGATATTTTGCAAATTATCGTGGTAAGACAGCAGTTAATGACAGTAGTACTTAGTTTGATACAGTGTTATTAGTTGCATGTTAATAGTAATTGCGTAATAATGTGGAGAACAGGAGCCAAAACAAAAGGTAATTATGTTTAAGTTATTGTAAAACTAAAAGTAAATAGTTTACATTTATAAGTCAAAAGAAAACAATAACATGAATAAGTTACAGAAGGTTGAGTACATTATATTAAAACTATTTTGAATATACAAACCAGCAAGTCATGTGACTGCCGTTGTATATGGATGGAATGTATCAGAACTAAATTTGAATTGTTTGACATTTGTAGGTAGTGTGATGCCACTGAAAATTGCTTGCCTGTGGTAAGCCCTCTCTGACTTAAAATACTTGTATTCAGATCATTAAGATCTGTTCAGATTGGGGATTTCAAAGATGGGGATATATATCCCTTGTACTTAAGGGCAATGGAAAACAAAGGAGTATAGATCAACTTAGGACATCAGGGCCATCCAGTAAGAGACCTGCAATAAATTGTACTGTAACCTTGGTAAGTAAACTGTACATTTTGTGATAGATGAGAGTTCATGATTATAAATGTCAGTGGCAAAAGCCATCCAGTAAGCAACATAATCAAGAAAGATTTTCTTCTGTAAAGTCGTGTACACAAGTACACATGACATATCCATTCAACTGTTGCCTAGGGCAAACAGCTGGAGAATGAAACAGGTATTCATAGTATTCCATAGTAAAATATTCCAATAAAATCAATAGATGCACTGCCATGGATTTTTGTGTGATCAGACTGTTGAAAACAGACACTGTTTTTCCTAAACACTGGATAGATTATGGAGAGCAGCAGAGAAATGGGGTGTACTTTGGACATGACAGCCTTACAAAAAAAACCTTCTGCAGGGTAATTGTCAAAAACTAAAGTTGTCAAACAGAGAATGAACAGATGTTGTGAGGCTCAAAAATAATTTTAATATGACATACTCAACCTTGTATTCTTCTTATTTGTTAATATATTACAATAATGTCAGTTTTCTTTCAAACAAGTCATTCGGCTTTGTTAATATATTTACTTGAGTAAGGAAGCACAATATGCTGATACATTAATAAGTAGGCAAACTGATTTATAAACACTGAAGTGATTTAGTTATTGTGGAACATAGTACATGTTTCAACAGAACATTGGTCTGTCTTCTTTGAAACATGTAGTCTGTTCCACTATAAATGTATCACTCTGTTGTGCTTATAAATCAATGTTTACTTATTTATTATTTTAGATATATTACAAGAATGTCATCCTCTTTCTAACAAGTTATTCTTCATTGTTGATATGTTACAATAATGCCAGTTTTATTTCAAACAAGTCATTCTGCTTGTTTGTTAATACCTAACAAGAATCCCAATTTTTTAAGACTAGTTGAAGTTCTTGTTAGAATGTTCCAGTACTCTTTATTTGTTGATGTCTTACAAGAATGAAGAATTTCTTTTAAAATTCTGTTTTTCTTGTTTATTGTTATCTTGCAAAAATTTCATTTTCCATTGAACTAGCCACACTTTAGTAAATTTTGATTTAAAATATTTATACTTTTGAGAAAGTGTTAATACATATTTTTTTTTTTCATTTGATAATAAAGGTAGATTTGATTAAGGTTTTCCTCTTTAAGCTGTACATTTTCTGTGACTACTACATACAAGTTAGCATAGAAATTCCATGTTACCTCACCAATGAAGAATTTTATTGTATATTATTTTGTACATATATATATATCCAGTCCATTGTATATCTAGTTTAACCTAAATTTGATATTATTCTTTTCTTCCTGATAACTAGACTGTTGGATTGATCTTCACATGTTTTTTCAGTATTTGCTAAGTGGACTGTCCAGAACAGGTACTCCAATTATGAATCCACACAGAAAATCCTTCAGAATCTAGTTCCTGGCTTAGAGAGATTGAACAGGTTTGGAAGTCTAATGCTTGATAATTTTTCCTTTTTTGTATACTTTTCTTTGTGTCATATTAGTGTCTATGTCTCATATTATTATCTGTGCTATATTGGTGTCTTTCATACTATTATCTTTGTGTCGTACTATTACGTAGGTGTCTCATTATCTATGGAGCATATTATCTGTGTGTCATATTATTAACTATGTTTTATATTGGTATCTGTGTGTCATTATTATATATGTTTTATATTAGTATCTGTGTGTCATTATTATCTATGTTTTATATTGGTATCTGTGTGTCATTATTATCTATGTTTTATATTGGTATCTGTGTGTCAAATATTATCTATGTTTTATATTGGTATCCGTGTATCATTATCATCTATGTTTTATATTGGTATCTGTGTGTCATTATTATCTATGTTTTATATTGGTATCTGTGTGTCATTATTATCTATGATTTATATTCGTATCTGTGTGTCATTATTATCTATGTGTTAGTATCGGTATGTCATTATTTATGTGTTAGTATCTGTGTGTCACATTATTATCTATGTTTTTATATTAGCATCTGTGTGTCACATTATTATCTGTTTTATATTAGCATCTGTATGTCATTATGTGCTATATTAGCATCTGTATGTCATATGTGCTATATTAGCATCTGCATGTCATATTCTGTTTTATATTAGTATGTGTGTCACATTATTATCTATGTGCTATGTTAGTATATTTGCGTGTTACACTATTATTTGTTTTATATTAGTATCTGTGTGTCATGTTATTATCTGTGTGTCATTATCTGTGTTTTATACTATTATCTGTGTTTTATTAGCATATGTGTGTCACATTATTATCTATGTGCTATGTTAGTATATTTGCGTGTTACACT